AGCGGGCCTGATGGCCCGAGTCTCGCCACGTAAAATAAGGCAAATTCAATTCAATTCAATTCAAGTCATCCGCCGTCTTTCTAGGAAGTCTGTCTTCTCAATTACACGCTGTCTGTGCGTGCCACCGCAGCGGCTGCTGGTGATCCCTTTCTCCCGTCTATCAGCAGAATGTCAATTCCCGACATCACGTACTTACATCCAATTTCCTTATTACACTACATATTTCGATATGATTCAAATCTGTTTCCCACATTCCGTTCAAAAGTTTCCCAGCTTTCTCCAATCAGATGGCTGACCGGCTACTAGCCTCTTCCAAAACCCGGAGTCAATCAGGATCTTTCCCGACATTACTGCATCCCCCACTTTCCGTTCCCTATTCTATGTCGCTCACCATCTGCCGGGCGAGGTTCCATCGGTGATGTCGGCGCTCTCTTTGTATTCTCGTGGCTAGTCTCAGCACAGCGTCGACTGAATGACCTTTCCCGACATCCAATATTCATATTACCCGACATAAGCCATGCTTCTTTCCAACAACCCATTCAATAAATTTCCCGATATTTCGCTATATATCCCGATATATAACCTAATATTCCCGATATATAACTCGAGCCAGCCCATCTGCTAGGCTCTTCCGATTACCGTGGTCGATTCGACCCTTCCCGACATTACCACCCCTTTCCACTTATAAAGAACAAGGAATGTCCTTTTCGCCAACACCTACTTTCCCGACATCCAATTTTCATATTGCTCTAGAATGCTGCGCGCGCCATAGCGTTCCTTCCTTTGTAGTCTCACCGCCCGCGTCAGCCCAGCTGCAAAAGTATGTCCTTTCCTTCAGCATCTGTTTTCGCGACATCCAATTTTAATACTACCTAATATCTCAACATGATCTACACCTTTTCCCGACATCCCATGCAAAAAAATTACCGACATTTTTGTAACCGGAGCTCACAGCCACTAGGGTCTTCCGAATACCGTAGTCGGTCAGGGACCGTTCCAGACATTCAGGTGAATGCCGGACCATCCCCTTCTGTTCCTTCCTCCATGTTGTTTGCCGTCTTTCCGGGCGTTCTCGCAAAGGAATGTCCTTTCCAACAACATATTTTTTGTCGACATCAAATTTTCAAATTGCCCAAGATCCCAACATGATCCATACCTATTCCCGACATCCCACACAAAAAAAATTCCCGACATTATGCCAACTGAAGCCCACGCAGCCGTTAGGCTCTTCCGAATACCGCAGTCGGCCGGGGACCTTTCCCGACATTACCACCCCCTTCCGCTCCTTCCTCCACGTCGCTCGCCGTCTTTCCGGG